GCAACATGTTAAAGATTCTAACTTTTGATTGGTTCAGAGCAGAGCAGGTTTGTAATAGGAGCAAAACATAAAAAGCCTAGAAATGCCAAAAGACATAGAGGATTGAAAGTGAAAGCAATTTTAAGCAATGGTCTTGAAAATAGTAGACAACAGTGCACAGCTTGATTAAATAACAGGTTGGATCCAGCCAGTCCCCACCACCACCACCACTTAATCTTGCTCAAATATCCTACTGATTATACCCTCCCATCCCCATAGCTTTTGTCTTTGCAGGTCCCACCAGCATAGCCTTTGGGGGGTGGTGGTCAACAAAGCCCCCCCCCCCCATACTTTCTCACCAAAAGAAAGATCCATCCCAATAATTTCTGGTACTTAATAGCTCCAGAAAAAGACACCCTGTATTAGCATAGAATAACTGAGCTACCTTAAAGCAGTGTCAGCAGAGACTAATAAGGGAGGCATAATTTTTAAAGACCCAACGATATTGATCACATCAGGTGGTCTTTATTTGGAAAGCTGAAATTATGCAGATGAGGCAGATGTTGAGAACACTACAGAAGACTCAAAAATAGCGTGAGGGAGGTTTTAAAAAGCATGTGACCTGTGTTTTGTTAAAACCAAAGCGAATATTAAGTTGAGGAGCAGTACACTTCTCTACAGGCAGAGAACTATCATATGGACGTGGGAACAAGTGCACATAAATCATGCTGATTTATTCTGCTCATTCCTATAATGTCCCAGAAAGGTGGTCGTTGGATGCACATCACCAGCCCAGGTCATCCTCTGTAGGATGCCACCATGTTTCATCCAGTCTCAATTTCACTGCAATGTGAAAGGGGCTACCTGTGGTACAGTCATCTCACACAACTGTTACCATTTCAGAATGCCTCTTGCTCTGCTTCCTCCCATGAAGATCTCTTTTGGCCTTCTTCCTCATATGTAAACTTGCCATGCACAGAGAGATTTTTGATATGCACTACATTAAGAGTTTGCACACTTGGAACTGACTCCAGATGAGGCCACAGAGCAAATTCCATCAGAGGTCTGGCATGAGAGACTAAGAATGCCTTGCTCTTTCTTTCATTTTCATCCAGCTTGGATCCTAAGGTGACATAACATCACCTCAACAAAACGGCCTTCTACTCTGCAGAGGAGGGGAGGGATTATTTATCCTCCAGACGGCTTCCAGTGTGCTCCCCACATGGTCTCTTTCGGTCCACTGACCCCTCCCAGGAGCATAAATGGGGGGCACAGAAGATTTCAGGGGAGGGTCATAGAAGTTGGCCTTCCTCCATAGAAGTTCCACTTATGCTGCTTAGGATCCAAGCCTTTGTGTGCAGAATCTTGCCATAGTGCCACTGACACTGAACCAAGACAAGACTGAGGTAATAATAGTTAGGAATTATAGCTACTCCCATTAACAAAATTCAAGCAGGTTTGTAGCTGTATTGTGTCCCTTGCATTCATACTGATTCCCCCCCCCTTTTTTTTTTCTTTTTTCTTTCTTTTTTCTACCTGCATAATTGGACCTTTCCCCTTTGTGAGGAAACTCCTGAACCACTTTCCTTCGGGTATCTCTAGCTCAGCCAGCTGAGCCAGCGGCTATTCTATAATGGAGGTTGCTGCCTTTTGTTTTGGCAAATGTGGCCTGGACTGCTTCCTTCTTCTCTGACAGTAAATTGTAACAAGGGTACCAGCTCTTTCCCCCCAACAATTAAACCCCCCCCCCAGACAAAACCTTCTCCAGGAAGTGACCTCTGTGCTAAACTGTATGAAACTTGGGACCAAAAAAGTTCCTGGCACATTTTGTTTTGGGTTCACGCAAATGGTGCTTGTGGGATGTGCCCACCTACAGGGCTTGTGGACAGCAGGACTGGTGGACTTTAAGTCTGGAATCTAGGGACCATCTTGAAAGACATGTAAAAGCTTTCGGGATTTCCTTCCTTGCTTTTCATTTCTGTGCCATCTTTTTGCGCAATCCTCCCTCACACACACTTTTGTTATTACAAGTGCCTTGACTGCTTGCAGTGCTTTTTATCCCATATGTCTATATTTTGCTCCATCTTGAATCTTAACAAAACCAACCATCTTGTCCAGTCATCTGCCTGAGACCAGTTCCTATGTAGGAGTAGTGACACATCTCATCCCTGACCTTCACAATCACTTCTGTTTCTTGGAGGGGAGAAGTTTTCTGAGTGGCATTTCTGCCTGGAGGGGTTAAACTTTAAATATCTGGATGGTGGCAGCTCTGCTAAGACAGACTGACAAGTCAACTGAGAAAGAAGAAGCAGGTTAGTCCCCAGCTCATGGTACTGTACCCCAGTAAGCCTTTTGGTTCTCCATTTCTACAGTAGCCTTGGGATGGTCTTGGCCCATTCACCATGACGGGCCAAGCTCACAGACCATGATGGGTCTGTGGGCTTAACCACTTTTCTGAATCTTCCTTAGAGGTGAGTTTATGGAAGGTTTATTATATCTGCATTGGCATTCTGCTGTCTTCTGGGTACCATGGCAGTTGCTGGGAAGGGGGGGTTACCTATAAAGTTCTAAAAGAACTGGGTCCAGCATGCCCATCACCCATCTCAGAGTCCTGTAAGAAGACTCCCAAATGGAAGATTGCCAACACCCTCATAAAATATAGCCTGGGTTAGCTTTCACTAGGAACTGGTGATCTGAAGCAAGAAATCATAGTCCATGAAAATCTCCTTGCTGAGTATTTTCTTCTTGTTTCTATGAGATTTAAGCTCCTCAGACTAAACACTGTTGTTTAGTTATAAAGCCAGAAAAATCTATGAAGGTGGATGACAAGGTTGGTGCTAATAAGATACAAATAGAAGAGTCCTTTGTCTACCTTTAAGCAGGATTTATTTTAGCAGAACACATAATATGGGCACATACAGCCCAATCCTAAACATATATACTCAGATGGAAGTCCTTCTATGGTTAGTGAAGCTTACTCATGGGTAATGTGCCTAGGACTGGGACCACATTGATGGATTCCACGATTCTACTCTCTTTTTTTCTTCTTTCCAAGAATCTTCCCTGAAATAACCATATCTATCTTAAAATTGATTATCTCCAGCATATATATGCAAACATTGCAAGATTTGTATTTAGGGCCTACAGAATGAAGATTCTAAGAGAGAGAGAGAGTCTTAATTGTCTAGTAACAAGATGTGAGAGCAAATAGAGAACACTAGCATAGCATAGAGATGGGAGTGTTAGGTTCCAGTCTCCCCTCATCCATGGAAGCTTGTTGGGTGACCTTGGGACTCAGATGGAAGTCCTTCTATGGTTAGTGAAGCTTACTCATGGGTAATGTGCCTAGGACTGGGACCACATTGATGGATTCCACGATTCTACTCTCTTTTTTTCTTCTTTCCAAGAATCTTCCCTGAAATAACCATATCTATCTTAAAATTGATTATCTCCAGCATATATATGCAAACATTGCAAGATTTGTATTTAGGGCCTACTGAATGAAGATTCTAAGAGAGAGAGTCTTAATTGTCTAGTAACAAGATGTGAGAGCAAATAGAGAACACTAGCATAGCATAGAGATGGGAGTGTTAGGTTCCAGTCTCCCCTCATCCATGGAAGCTTGTTGGGTGACCTTGGGCCAGTTACTCTCGCAAGCCTACCCTACCACGCAGAATTGTTGTTGTGAGGATAACTTGGAGGAGAGGAGGATGACGTATGCCACCCTGAGCTTTTTGAAGGAAAGATAGGATACAAATGTACCATATGATATTTTTAAGCCTGAAAGATACATCATTTACTCTCATATATTAAACTGAAGGCATACACGGATGCACCTCAGGATTTGGCATTGGGGCTTTTTTTATCACTGAAGTGAGCCTTCCTCTCCCCACCGCCACCATCCCTACACTACAAACAACAGACAGACTTGCAACCTGTTTGAGCCCTGATCCATTTTTGCCTCTTCCCCCGTGCTTCAAGCATTTCACTGTTTAAAGTGTCACATATATTTGTGCAATTAAAAGTTTGTTCAGTATTTTTAAAAATGTTTAAAAAATTTATAAAATTAAAACTACTTAAAAAAAATAATCCACAATTGCTTTTTTCCAAGTTGAAAACCTGCTCCTGAGTGGAAGAAGAGCTGCATCCCTGATGTTATAGACATTCGCACAACCAGGTCCTGTGGCACATGGGTAGAAGCAGTTTCCCATGAGGTCAATCCTGGAGACATTTTAAGCATGTGCCAGTCTTCCCATAGAAGCTGAGAGGGTTAATAAACCCTTAACACTGGCTAGATGGTGGCCATGCTCTTTGTGTTGCGAAACGAGTCCTGGAGAAAGGATTGCACCAAGTGTGGTGAGTGCACTTCCACAGCAGCCTGACTGGGTCAGTTCTGCCTATACCCTGAGAGTGAATCACCTGGACTTTCCCATGGCTAGAGTACATTGAAACACAAATACATGATCTTGGGATCTGTGGCATGGCAGTACAGAAATAGTTCAGTCACAGCGCAAAAGACTGCGAAATATAATACCAGTCTTTACAAATCTATTTTCTTTAAAGTGAACAGAATGAATTACTATAAAAGCCCAGACATTATATTCACTGAGAGGCAGCTATGATTCCAAGATACAAAAATGTGAAACTAGAATAGTTATGTGTATGGATCTGTTTCATCAGACTGTTAACTTACACGAGAGTCTCTCAGCAGCAAACACAGAAGTGACAAATGTGATACATGTGGTCAGGCCCACAGAAGTTACCTTCAATCAAGGAGGTTTGATCGTGCCTCATGGCCTTACCAGTACAAAAGGGGGGTGGAATGGATGTGAAGATCTCTTTCTAAAAACATCATAAAACTTACGAATTTCCTATTTACAACTCAATTGCTTCTGTTAAAAACTCTACAAGCACGTTGTTTTGATCCATATAAAAATAACCGTGTTTACATATTTGCATGAGTGTTCATCTCTCTCATGTGCTGAATGAAAATAAAAGAGCGCACAATTCTTTTTCTCCTCCTAAGGCTTTTCACCCTCATCCTCTGACACGGTACCACTTCCATACTTCTTTACTTTGTTCTCCACTTTTATAAGTCTCTGCTTGACTTTGGATTGACTAGCAGTGAACTCTGCTAGGAGTCTAGCAAACCTGGTCTGGAGACTGTCGAGAGACACTTCAAGTCTGTCTATTTTCTCTTCCAAGTCTTTGGGGTCGGCTCCTGCTTTGGCTGCTTCTTCATCAATTAAGTTGTCTTTCATCAAAATTTGCCGTCCTTTTTCTTCCAGTGCCTGTTTAGCATCAGGGTACTCTGTGAGTGCTTCCATCAGGTCATCTTTAGACAAGCAAAACAGATCAGAATAGCCTATGCTCCTGATGTTGGCTGTTCTCCTGTTACCAGATTTGCTGCCTTTGATGTTTAAGATGCTGATTTCCCCGAAGTAGCTGCCATCACTTAGGACCACAAATTGTGTCACCCCATCATCAGCCACAACAGCTAATTTCCCTTCTTTGATGATATACATTTCTCTCCCAATATCACCTTTCTTACAGATGTAATCTCCAGGACTGAAGACTGTAGGTCTTAGCTTCAACACCAGTTCAACCAGGAGGCCTGCTTCACAATCCTGGAAGATACGCACTTTTCTTAGTGTATCCAAGTGGACATTTATAGCAATTTCAGCTCTCAGTTTGTCAGGAAGGTACTTAAGAACTTCCCTCTCTTCCACTGTTTTCTTGTTGGTCCACAGATAATCAAACCATTTAATAACCCTGGCTTCCAAGTCTTTAGTGACCTTCCGGAAATGCATGTACTGTTTGATAGCATCAACCTTGGACTGGAAGTCTGCCCTTGAGGCATTCATGTTAGAAATCATAGAACCTACATTACCGACAATGGTGGCAAAGATGAGCACACCCACTAGAAAGTCAATGACCACGAACAGAAACTCTTCATCTTTCACTGGAGGGGGAGTTTCTCCAATGGTTGTCAGTGTCAATGTTGACCAATACAAGCTATAAATGTACTTTCTAGACAGACGTCCATGTTCTGGAATGGACACATTGGGATAGACCCAGCTGTCTGTTCCAAATCCAATTTGCTTTGAAATGGCATAGTATATACATGCATTCCAGTGGATAATGATTAGAATATACAAGACAAGGTTCCCAATTCGAAATATATTTGGATAGTTTGTTCTCGTTTCTGTACGGTCAAAAAACTCAAATAGCCTGGAAATCCTCAGAAGGCGGTTAAACCGCAATTCAGGATAGTTCAATCCAAATTTTAGATAAAGTATGTCTGTTGGGAAAAGTGACAGCAGGTCCAATTTGAATTGTCTCGTTTCTTGATAATTTTGTCTTAACTTCTGTTCATCTCGAACTAGTAGTCCTTGTTCAAGGAAACCTTTAAAAAAATTAAAAATAGAACACTAACATCAGAAAATGGGTTATATGCTCGTAAATATGAACATTGCAGCCTTGGAAATGTGCATCTTAACCTCTGTGACATAGCCCTTTCTACTAAGGATTTGTAAATCCTTCCCAGGTGTACAAAAATATGTTCCTCTTGGATAGTTTTTGTACTATTAGGTTTACACAGCTTGAATAATAATTACACAATAGGCCCATTCCTATTGAAATCTACAAAATTAGTAAAGCTTGCCACATGGGTTTGGTTTTAAGCAGGCAGCAATGCCATGGTGTGACTGTCTGAGCTGTGTCTCCACAACACTTCTCTAGATGTATGTCTTATTTTAGACAAGGAATTATTTCAATAGACTCCATCAAATTCAGTGATTCTTCTCTTTTGATCAAGTACGATGGTTGATGAACAGTAGAGTCATCGGTGTAATTCAACAGCAGACACCTGTTCTAATGAACCCACCTGTTCTAATCCTCACAAAAGTGTCCAAGATGTAGACAGCATCAGAGGAATAGTCCAAGATGAACCAAAGCAACATGTGGTCCATTTGGAGCTCATCAAAACAGGCTCTGAAAAAGCACAAATGAAAAGAAGACTGGATTACACTTGTATGCTAAAAATATGCAGGTGATTGTATTCTGGCTCCACGGTTTTTGAACAGCCATATCCACAGCACTGTGTATGCCTCTGCCAAGACAATTTTACTGGGTCCCTGTTAGAATAAAGTTGGGACCATGTATAGAACTCTTAACATTTTTGGATGAAGGGTCAAAAAATGTAGTAAGTAAAATCTTGCTTTGATATTATGATGCTGCATATGGAAGGAAGCTTAGACTGAAAGAATGGAAGGCAACCCAATATCAGCCTAGTGCCCACAGTCATGGCATGCCCGTGCGTTGATCACTTAGACATTACTCTGACTGTACAGGAGGGATTGGGATAAAGGTCAACAAATGACAGGATGACTAGCAGACAGAGGTGGCAGGAAATCAACTAGGAAACGGGGGATAGAGTTGTTTAGGAAAGTATTACATAGGTGGATCTTCACAAGGAGCTTAAAGGACATTCTTTCACTAATAGGTGAAGGTGCTTTTGCAAGCCCTAGGGAGCTTCAGAGGGAAAGGCACTGAGCGAAGAAAGGAAGGGAAGCAAGTTGCAAAAGAAGAAACGCTGGTGCAAGACCGAGGGATCAAGAAAGGGTACAGCAAGGAAGGAGGGAGGTCCATCTTTTTTCAGCCTGTAAAATAGGGCTGCCAGCCTCCAGATGGGGCCTGAAGATCTCCCTGATGTACAACTGATCTCCAGACTACGGAGATAAATTCCCCTGGAGAAAATGGTTGTTTTGGAGGGTGGGCTCTAGTAATGCCCCTCTGAAGTCCCTCCCCTCCCCAAACCCCACCTTCCCCAGCCTCCACCCCCAAACCTGCAAGAATTCCCCAACCTGGATTTGACAACCCTACGTTAACTTATCAGGCCTCACCTGCCTGTGTTGTGTGCAGGAGACTGCTTATTCAGATCTGGCCCCGCTGACTTGTGCCCAAGCCATGTCAGATACTCTGTCCACCATATCCTCTCTGTGCAGAGTGTTCAACTTACACTTCCTACAGACACTGCCTAACAATATTAAGAACTGAAGGTACTCTTCCTTGGGAATGGTATATTCAGAAGGGGGGGGGAGACTTCAGTGATACTAGAGCAATAATCTAGTCAGTGTTAAGGATTCTGCATCCCTGTGTGGGAGTTGTTTAAGCATGAGATTTTTGGTCTTTTCACAGTCTGTAAAACAGTTGCTGCACTGAAGCCACCAGAGGGCCCCTGCAGGCCGCTGTGCGCATGAAGCTTGCTGCAAATCAGAGCTGGAAAAACAATGCAACTCCTGCTTCACAAAGACACAGTTATGGATTTAAGGGTTACGAGCATAACATTGCAAGCCTTTCTTTCTTAAAAGAGTTGTGTGTCTATTTTGGATTGTTTCATTGGGGACAGAAATACCCAAGTCAGAGGAAAGAAGGGCTGGTAGCGGCATTCTAAATTTCGGAGAATGTATGATATCCAGAGGGGGAGAGAATCACAAATTCTGTTTAAAACATAAAATAAGAATATGAGGTTTTGCTAGCCTCTCCTGAGGGGAAAGTTTATAGCACTTTGTATGAATGGGAGACCAAGATCTCATAGACGTCATGTGAAAGGGAGGTAGAAGGAAGCTAAGCAGACAATGTGCTGGTAGTTCCATCTGAGGCAGGCCTGAAGTTTTAAAAAGTTACTTATCTTGTACACGGGGGGCCCCAATTCAGATCTGGACTATGGCATGAAGGGAGAGCTAAGCCTCCACCCCATTTTCCCAGTCTGACATGGCCCCAGGAACTACTGTTTCGCCTGTATGGAAAATTTACATGTATTGAGGTTAAAGTTGGGACTGAAACTCAGATTAGTTGGAGGAACATGATGAAATCTGAAGGAAGACTCAGTTCTTAAGTGGAACAGTAAGAACTAGTCTTGTTATGAATGTGAGGTTAGGGTTACTAGTGTGAGGATTAATGTTCGTGTTGGAGACAGTCTTGCAGTTAGTGCTGTGGTTACATTTAGGAACAGAATTTGCTTAGTGACTGGGTTAGGGTTTGAGATAGAGTTAGAGGTAGAGGAATTATCTGAAGTGAAAGGGTTTGGTACTTTGTGATAGAATTAGGTTTAGGATAAGGGTTAGTTTGAGCATCTGTGATTAAGCCTTTCCCCCAACAGTGTGACCCACAACAAGGCTAAGAAAGAGCTCTGTCTAAAACCCTGCATAGCAGGGGAGACAAAAGTCAACAATTGAAACCAACAGTTATAGTAAGAGTACAATTAAGGAATAATCCTTACCTACATATTAACATACACCAATTATAGAATACTGGTACTGCAATGATGGACAACCACCTGTAATACAGGTTGCTGGATGGATCCATCACAAAGATCTCTTTCTTCGTCCTAAAAAGGAAAGCATAAAGGTGTCTATACATGAAAGACCACGGGTCACAGAAATTCTCCATCTTCCAACGTGATCATCATACTTCCTTCAGCAGATTGCAACACGAGCAGTTGATTACGGAAGACCTTCTGTGTGGTACTGCACCTAGTCTGGTCCAATACAGCACCCACTGACATTCTGAAACTGAAGCTTCATCATCAGTCAGAAGGGCAACAAGTGTTTTGATTGTGTGCTTAAGTCTAGAGTGCTCCACAGCACACTGAAGCTGGAACTGATCAAGGCACCACAATGAATCACAATCTGTTTGGACAGTACCGACATTGTAGCCTCTTTTCGACAGATTAGTAATCCCAACAAAACCTACTTCAGAATGTGCTCCATAAATCTATGCCAGCATTAATTATCATGGGCTTAAGAAAACCAGAGGAAATACCTGGGACCAAAACAAGTAGAAATCCACATGAATAGCACATTTCCCCCCTTCCCACAATGAGCACAACCCTATGCCATAAACTTCTTTTAAAACCCCAAGATCAGACATTCTCTTAACTACATTTGCAGGACTATGGCAGAACTACTGTTACTCCAGTAGATCACAAAGTAGAATTTTTGCTCACAAGACTCCACAGCTTAGAGGTTATTATGGCTAGAACTACACTTTAATCTGTGGCCCACTACCACACTTCCTTTTAGTGGCTCCGAACAATGTACTTGGTTCTCGCTCTTTCTCAGAATCTTCAAAACAACCCTGTGAGAGAGAGGCTAGATCGGAGACTGGCCAAGAGCACCATAGGCTTTTAAGGCTGAGCAGAGGAAACAACAGCTATCAGCCCCAGCAGCCTTTGAAGGACGCTAGTGCAGAACTGGTTGGCATGCTGTGCAAATCCTCCAGCCACTGTGGCCAATTCGGTCAGCAAAGGATGGGGTGGGATAGTTTACTACCAGAGAGAACAAGCTGGGGACTGTGAGAGATCACACAGCAGAAATTTCCCCCCAATGTACACATGCAAATCTTCCCTTCCTGGATTCTGTAGCCTCCCAGGGTCTTGGGGAGGCTCTTCCCCCCCCCCTTTGCTTATTTTAAACTGAGTCTCAGCATTCCAGGAGTCTGGAGCATGCCCCGTCCTCAGTGTGATGTTTTGATAAGTTTTCCCTTTTTGCTTCTGGATAATTTACAAATCAATGTTTTACTTGGAGAGTCCCCTGTGTGAGTATACAGAAACCCCTGCCTTGTCTGTGGATCACCTGTTTTGCTCTGTTTGTGACTGGCCAATGCACCCATTTAGTAGCACACTGGGGGCCCAGGCAAAAGCTTGAGGAAGGTGGGTGAACCATTTTGAATTCGTCACACCTTGAACTAGGGATGCCAGCCTCCAGAATCTCCCGGAATTACAGCTCATCTCCAGACTACAGAGATCAGGCTGCTTTGGAGGGTGAACTCTATGGCATTGTACCCCACTGAGGTCCCTGTTTCCCCCAGGTTCCACCCCCAAATATCTAGGAGTTTCCCAACCTGGTTCTGGCAACCCTACCCCCTCATCTCCCATGGGTGGCCTGGGGGAACCTGACAACCCTGCTTTGAACCCAAATCTCCTCCTCCAGGATACTTATAAACACTTGCAGGCTTGTGAAGGCCAATTTTCTCTCACACACCCCCTTTCTTCAATTGAAACTCAACTGCTGTCAACATTTCAAGGAATCTGAGCGTGTTCAGTCTGCAATAGGGCACTGCAAGGTGGGGGGTTTTATTTCTAATTTACAATTTATGTATTTCTAATTTCAGGATACCTGGAGAGTCCCCTGAGTATACAGAATCTCTGGCCTTGCCCATGAGTGGGCACCTATCATTGCTTCCATAACAGGCATTCTAGGGAAGAGGAAGTGTGTTGCAAAGATAACATCATTCCCGTTTATACTTACTCTGGTTCCTTTTTCTTATCATCTTTTTTCTCCTCCTTCTTTTCCTCTTTTTTCTCCTCTTTCTTTTCTTCCTCCTTTTTCTCCTCTTTAACCTCTTTCTTTTCCTCCTTCTTTCTGTGTAACAAACTCAGCATTGTTACTGGCTTACCGGTGGCTGGGTCTATGACACCAGGCCCAAGAATAGGTAGTAGACTAGAGGAGGCTACTGACACGGTGAACACAAAGGAGTCTACAATAATGAGATTAGCAATATCAGGCAGACTGTGCCATAAAGGCAGATGGCTGATGTTGCAAGAGCTTTGTCCATGCCTTGTGAACCTGCCAGCAACAATTGTGAGGATTTTAAATAAAATAATTCCAAACCACTTGATTTGTTAGGGGAAAAAAAAATCATACCTGTACACCTTGAAATCAAGTCTATTACCAACAATTTCCCCCTAGATTAATTACAGGCATTTTTAGAACCCTGAAATCCTAAGAGTGTTTACTTGAGAATAAGTGCCCTTGAACTCAATACAACTTACTTCCAAATAAATATGCATAGGTTTGCCGTATACAGCTGGTGTTTTCCTTATATTAGCTGAACTATTAGTGGAACCAGTTCCAGGATGGAGCTGCTGGGTTTAGTGACTCGTCTTCCTCCTAAAGGGTGGATGACTTGGGTCCTAGGACGTGTTGTGTTCTCCATGTTGGATGAGAAAGATGTTTGTAGCTGACTCCTATGACTCTTAGGTGTTATGTTGGATTCCGCACTGCTGCTAGAAAAGTGCCCTGTTATCTCTCCCCACCCCTGCCTGCCTGGGGCCAGGGAGGGCCTTCGCGGGGCTTCCTTGCACTCCCGCCGGCCTTGCAAGTCCACCGCCGGGCCCCTCATGGGGCTCAGCAGTGGAGCTGCAAGGCCGGTGGCGGCGGCCGGGACTGTTGGGGGCGGGGTGTGTGGCCTTATAACACACTTCCGGTGATGTCAGGGGGTGTGGCCTTATGACGCACTTCCGGTGATGTCAGGGGGTGTGGCATATGCTAATGAGTTATGCTAATGAGTTTGGCATGCAAAAGGTCCCAGGTTCAATCCCTGGCAACAGGAGCCGCTGGACTTAAAACTTTGTTCAGATGTTTTACACTCGCCTTTCAGCACTGCAGTACTCCTTGGACTGCATTTTACATCCAAATGTATTATGTCCAAGTCATCATGATTGGTGCAGAGAAGATGGGAGCGCAAGGATGTCCAGATTAGTGGCAGGTATCCACACATCCATTACCAAGACATAAGAGTACTTGAGTTCTCTTACAAGGGGGTGGCAATTTCCACCAATTCCCCCTTGTAATGCAGACACCCCCCCTCCTTACACCCCTATGCTATTCCTAATGGTCCATTAAACCTTAGAAAATATATTTCTGAGCCGTGGCTCAGTGGTAGAGCCTCTGCTTGGCATGCAAAAGGTCCCAGGTTCAATCCCTGGCATCTCCAGTTAAAAGAACCAGGCAGGAGGTGATGTGAAAAACCTCTGCCTGAGTCCCTGGAAAACTGCTCCCAGTCCAAGTGAACAATACTGACCTTGGTGGACCAGAGGTTTGATTTGGTATAAGGCAGTTTCATTCTTTCATAATTCAGGAGTCTTAGTGGGATGCAGCCGGAAGAGGGAATCGGAGGAATCCCTTGAGTTGCTAAAGCTTCTTTATTGGATACAGGCCAGTAGGCTTAGGACCGTACCTCATGTCCAAGTAACAGACTCAGGATCAGGCTGTTAGCTAATATTTAGGACTGAGCTCTAGCCTTGATACAGATGAGTGCAGGAGCAGTACATACGCTGGGAGGGATCCCCAGAACCCTCTTTTCCCCCCGTTGCCCCATCAACACTGGTATGGATACATGAGCATAGATAGGGGAAAGGGGAGTTGAAGTTAAAAGAGCTTATAAACAGGACTCTCCTTCCACTACCGTGGCTCTTCACAATGTTCACACATCAGCATCAGGCCACATACAAATACAAAGAGCCAGTTTGGTGCTGTGGTTAAGTGCGCGGACTCTAATATGAGAGAACCGGGTTTGATTCCCCACTCCTCCACTTGCACCTGGCTGGATGACCTCGGGCAAGCCGTAGTTCTGATAAGAACTGTTCTTGAAAAAGAGCAGTTTCTGTCAGGAGCTCTCTCAGCCCCACCTACCTCACAGGGTGTCTCTTGTGGGGAGGGGAAGGGAAAGGAGTTTGTAAGCCGCTCTGAGACACCTTTGAGTAGTGAAGGGCGGGGTATAAATCTAATCTCTTCTTTTTCTTCTTCTTCTCCCCCCCTCTCACTCTCTACTATCTCTCTCACCCCAGCCTCGCACTCTCCCTCCCTCCCTGTCCAGCCACCTCGCACCCTCCGCCCAGCTTTGTCCTGCTCCCTTTCCTTCCCCCAGGCCTTCCCTGTCCTCCCCTCCCGCTTTCGTTTCCCAGAACTTTCGCCCTTTTTCGTGACAAAGCCCCCCCTTCTCCCCTCCTGGCACAAACATTCCCTCAGCACCCTGCTGTATTTATTTAGATCCCCTTTCTTCCCAGTCTCCTCCAGTTATCCAGCCAGGTGGGAACAAAAAGAATCACTATGATAAAGCAGAGGCAAGCATTTATTTGCAATGAGGAGTGCCGTAGACACGAAAAGGGGCGAAGTATCTCCCCTCCCCCTCCCCAACAGCTTCTCTGTTTTGAACCCCTTTGCAGGTTCAAGGAGGGTAGAGGGTGAGGCGTTAGAAGGAATAACCATACGCACAACCATCCTTTGGTAAAATATATGGCCGCAGCTAATTTTACTGCATACAGGCAAGGAGCAATGGCACAGCATGGGGATGGATCCAAGCGTCAGGCGACCCGCCTTCCACCTGCGGGAACCCCTACCCAGCCCATCTGCTGGGAGACCAACCGCGGAGTGACAAAATCCTGGGACACATGCAGGCACCTGGCACCGGCCTCTTCATGGTCCCCCCGCCACCTGGTGGTGGAAGCCAGCCAGCAGCCCCCGCCTGGGCATGTGGCTGAGTGGCTCCACCTCCCACGGCCCCTTATGGGAGGCCCCAAATTGGGAGAAGCAGGCACGCAGGCATGGCCTCCCCCGAAAAGGATCTGTCGCAATGCCCAAACCGCTAAGCGGTGACAGCAAAGAACAGACCAGAGAAGCACCGTAATACAACCAAAACGAGGGAGGGTGGGTGTTCTGATGAGAACAGGAGGAGGACGGCCTGCACGGGCTTGTTTAAATAGCCCGCCTGGGATTTGCAGCCTGTCCCCATGCTCAGATGCAGCGCCTGACGTGGCAGGCTGTGGGAGAACTGGCCTGCCCCCTCTTCGCATTGCCGGAGGGCACCATGTGGCCAGAGGATGCCTGCCTACCCCCTACCCCTCCTCCTGCACTGCAAACACCGGCGGAAGGTGAGTCTCCTGAAGCTGCTTTTTTCTGTATGAAAAGTAGCTGTTGGCCTTTAGTTACACAAAACTGTGAGTGACCTGTACTTAAGCCCTAAACCTAGATAGCTCTGCAGAACCTGTGGCAGCCCCATGACTGTACCCATGCATTCTTTTTACAAGACGTTTTCAGCTCAAATGTCACACTTCAGTTTCTACGGGTACACTCACATGGGTACCTTCTCACTGGTTCACTAGTGGAACGACTCTGCAGTTCTCACATAGCAAGGGGCAATTATGTGCTAAATTAGTGCTGGAAGATCCAGGAACTGATTACTGCTTTCCACCAAGCTACTTGAAAGAGAACCTCTGAACAGTTCAGGAATAGGCTGTTACCTAGATCTGCCCTCCTGGCTAGTTGTGGGGAGAGGGCTTTTCAAAAGTTGCATTCCTCGGCATGTTCTGTGTGACATGAGTTGTTCCTAGGATACAGAGAGCCAGGGAAGAGTGCAAACAGGTCCCACAGTGACCATTTTTTGCTGGCATATGTGGCATGGGAGGGAAGCCCTTCCCCCCTCCCTCAGAGAGCTCCAGAGCAATGGGCTCTTTTAAGATGAGCTTTCCAGTTTTTACATGTGACTGTGTGTTGGGCCGAGCACTCCAACCTGACTCTTTTCACACGGAACATCTCGTTTGGCCCCGTCAAGGGAGTCCAGGGTAGTCTTTGAGCAACGGTTCACATCACTCAGTCAAAGAGGCAGAACAAACAGCACCAGAGCGAGAACCCACCGAAGTTAATATGGGAGTCAGCCAGAGGTCATTTTGGGGGGGATCGTGGGGGATCGCAGTTCCCCCAGGTGAGGTAGGGGGACGGGGCACATGACGAAGCCCCGCCCCCTGCTTCCGGCCCTCATTCAGCCAGGAGGAGGCAGGAGAAGAAGGAGGGTAATTTGCTTCCTCCCTGCCTCTCCCCACCCCTGCCTGCCTGGGGCCAGGGAGGGCCTTCGCAGGGCTTCTAATGAGTTATGCTAATGAGTTCCCCTAGCTCTTTTTCTACAAAACGACCCCTGGAGTCAGCCACTGCCGTTTGAAAAGGCAGGTGGTAAATGTATCCCGAAGTGGGTTGCTTTGCAAGATATTAGAACAGGGGGAAAGAGAGACTGGCTTCAAAACATGCATGGAATTTTTTGATGCATTACTCATTGATTTATATGTGAATGTACTTGCAAGTTGTAAAATAAAATAAAAATTTTTATGGGGGGAAAATCGTGTGAAGCATCTGAAGGAGGGCAGAATAAACTTCTACATTTCAACTAAAAAAAAACACGCATGGATTTTATCTGTAAACATACCTATACATAAGTTTGGAAGAAACTCCACAAACTCAGCCACCTGGCCAAGAAAATGGGGGTTATGAGGAAGTCATTAAGTGCAAGCTTTCCAGCACTATGGCAGGGAAATTCCAAGTCAGCATCACTAGCAGCCTCCTAAGAAGAAAAAGGGAAGCTCATTATCTCTAAGAAAGGGCTGCTGCTTTAGCAAAAGGCCATAGAGCTGCAAGCAGAGAGAAGCAGGGAAACTGACTCACGGGGGGCCAGCAGTGTGTTTTGCGTAGGGGAGATAAAGAGGAGACTAAGCAAGACACAGGCGGTCAATGGTGTACTTACTCTTCATTGGTGTTATTGGAGTAGTTGACATTAAATCTGGCCAGAGCCCAATGACTAGAGCAGATTGATTAAAGGAACAAAGGAATAAATAAAGTGACAACACAAAAACCCCGGACATAAATTTTAAAAAGACTTGGTCTTGCATGCATAAACCTTGGCTTTCACCCTGCCATAGATTGAACCACTAGGTCTTCCTACATGCTGAAAAGATTAGAGAGGTCAGCTTTGACCACAACACTAAGTCTCTTTTGTAACTATCCAGAGCACCAGTTGTCCTTGTTCACGTGCAGATCAAACACATTTGTAACCAAGCCTAGGTGTCTGGAGCATGCCTGCTCTCAGGCGCATTAATGCTTGACCAAGGACCTGACTATTTATAGCTGTGTAGCCAATTGGTTGCTACACTAAGTGTTATTCACGCCATTGCCGTCATCTTTACAGGAGCGCAGCCAAGACTGCTGGAGAGTAAACAGATACATGGACGGTTGCTGCAGAATTAACTCACCCCCAGTGTAGGTAAGAGACATGGTGCTAATGCTGTGAATCTTTCATTTTAGCAAAGAGGTAAGTTGGGTATTCAGAGTCAATTTGGACAGCAGGTGTTAGCAGAAGCACAAGTAACAGATGTTCTTGCTTCCTGCTTCTGGTTTAACACATGTAGTGGAAACTCACAGGTCCAAATCCCCATGCATCCTTCAAATGTATGTTAGTATAAGAAACCAGAATCGATGGATGTTCATATGCCACCCACACGAATCTCCTTATCTGTGGCGGATAGATTATTGGTGCAGTGCCCCTTGAACTCTTTTAGTCATAGTTATGCTTTTCATGCAAAACTGAATGAGACAACTACAACAAGCAAAATATTGCCATTAGGGCAGGCTGGGGGTAGGGTTGCCAGCCTCCAGGTGGGGCCTGGGGATCTCCAGGGAGATTAGCTCCCCTGGAGAAAACCGCAAACCCAAAAATAACTGTGTATAGAAATATCAAAAGTATATGCAAAATACTTTTTATATAAAGTGTCACAAGGAACACCAATATTATGGCAATTATTCTCTTCAACTAATGTAAACCACTCAGTACATGAAAACAGTCCAAAGTAATCCAAAATAAATAGACGTGCCGTTTCCAGGTGTTTCCAAACCCAGACCTGGCAACCCTACTGGGGGGAGGTTGAATATTGCAAGGCCTTCTGGGCAGGATGTGCAGTGTATCAATGTGTTCCCTATCTTCCTGTGTGATTCCCACCAGTGAAGACCAGGCCCTCTGAAGTCAGGAGCAGCTCTCAAGTGCTTCCCAGTTGCCCAGGCCCAGTGGGGAATCCCCAGCCCCAGCCACAATTTCCTACCCTCAACAAATTGAGAAGGAGAAAAATAAGGTCTCTGTCATGACACTCTAGGAATTTCCCCTAGTCTCTATGCTCTTTACCACAAAGATTAGGGGAAATCCCTATAGCGTCACATCACATCCTCTCCATCACATCCTCTCCAGACTCCACTCTCCCCAGGCACTGCCCCCCAAATATCCCATCATTTATGTAGACAGTGTTGGAAACCCTGAGTAAAGTGCAGCTTCCCCCCTGAAAGAATGGATGGCAGTCATACACTAATTTGAGGGGAAATAAAAGGTAGGGACTGACCCTGCTTATGCCTCTGGTGATACCTGGCTCCTATCTGCATAGCTCTGGGTTTAGTTTCCTGGTCAGACCATAGTGTGACAGAGCATTGGCAACTGGCTTGCTTATATAAAGACATCAAACATTAGGAAGAACTTCCTGACAGAGCAGTTCCTCAGTGGAACAGGCTTCCTCGGGAGGTGATGGGCTCTCCTTCTTTGGAGGTTTTCAAACAGAGGCTAGATGATCATCTGACAGCAATGCTAATTCTGTGAACTTTGGCAGATCATGAGAGGGAGGGCAGGAAGGGTTGCATGGGTGCTTAGTTCTCGTGGCCCTTTCTTACACACCCAGGGAACTGCTAATCACCACTTTGGGGTCATGAAGCAATTTTCTCCAGGCCAATTTGGCCAGGGATCCAGGAGAGTTTTGCAGGGGGGTTGTCCTCTTCTGGGCATAGAGCAGAGGTCACTGGGGTATGTGCGGGGGCACTGTGCAGGGGATTGGACTAGATGACCCTGGAGGTCCCTTCCAACTCTAAGATTCTGTGATTCTGGGATTCTAAGAAGGTAGTAATACATGTCTGAAAGAATAAGCATCCTTACAACATTCTACAAGACCAAATCACATGAGTAACAGCATAGCCTGGGAGCATTCTGCACAAGAATTAGTCCAGTGTGACAATTCAGTACAATGAACTTTAGCTTTTTGAATGTATTATAGACCAAAAAAACCAACTTGGAATAAATGGAATTGCATCCTGGGAAAATTCAAGAGATCCAAAAGATCTGGGCAAATTTCCAGGGTCAACAGATAAGCCTTTAGAACCCTGCCCTGGTCTCCCATGGCTAAAGTCTCCTGCCTCTCAGTTCTGTCATTTATATAACCCCAACTTCCTTCCACTAAAATTGCTTTTCACACTTGAATCTTGAAAAAATGGCACATCTGTCCATATTTGTTCCATTTTTATTATCATTCTGTTGCAGAACATGGGTTTCCTTGGTGTGAAACATGGAAGATTGTCTTCTCCCTGTAGAATGCACACAGACCTCATTGCTGTGTGTTCTAAGTCAGCTGTGTTTCACACTGGGCTGCCTGCCAACCCTGGAGGTTGAAGAAGAACCAAGTCAACCACTTGCTTGAGAGCGCCAAAGAGATATGACTGCATGGGCAAGCTCACTGAAGACCACAATGCATCACATCTACAACTCATATCCCATTGTAGGCAACAGAAAAATCCCCATTTAATGTTATGACTCTGAATTGCACACAACATGTCAGAAGGGTATTCTTGCCCCCTCTTCTTCCTTGAGCATGACATCCAGAACAATTTTTTTTCTCAGGACTGTTGTCTCCCCTTACTTTTTCAGCTGGCCTGGCTCTTCAGAGTTGGTATTGCTGTGAACATCTTTGAGCTCTGGCCCTCGGATGCGCTCGAGGAAAGAATCGGGCCTTTCGTCTTCATGATGCAAATGTCTTCTTGCCCAGGAGGTCAGTGATAAGATGAAATGTGATAATCTGAAAAGGTGATGACAGGTGTGTTAGTTTATCCTTTATGATTACATATATTCTTCTAATGAACTGCTCAGCTGTAAGCCTTCCTGTTAAAGAATCATGCCTCTGCTCAGACACTCCTTCCATTTTGACCACCTTTACTTCCTTTCCCCCCTTCCCTACTTCTCTAAAAGTGCATATAGCTCCAGAGAATCTTTGAGATGTCTTATTTTTGCTTTCCTCAGAAGATCTCCTGTGCCTCACATGGGCTACTTCCACGCCAAGGTAAAGATGCTGATGTGATTCTCCATGAAATCACTCTTGCAACAGAGATTCCAGACAGCCCAGGGTAATCTGTTTTCTCTCTATTTTTGGCAGTGATTTCCATTTCACACCTGATGTGTATTGAAGGCATCCCTCAGGATTCTTCACCCATCCTGGTTTAAAAAAACTTTTAGGCACATGGGTAATGTATTGCATAGAAATAAAGCAATTTCTTTCAAAAACTTTTTTAAAGAACTACAATATTTGTAGATACCTCCACTGATCCTGTCTCCCTTCACTAAAAGGCAGGTTGAGTTTCAGTTAATTCTCTTCTTTTATTAAAACAACACAAAAAACAAAGCATGAGTAACACTAGATAGGAATAACGCAATACCTATAACAACTTTTTTTAAAAACTCATATTTGCAGAGCCTCCAATGATCACCTCCCCTCTGTCTAAAAGGCAAATGATTGTCTTCCGTTATGCTAATTGTTGCCAGAGACTGGCCCTTTTTGGTCATCAACAAATTAAGCGTAACTGACTAGTACTTCACTGAAGTCCCACAATCACGTTGTTTCCTTTTGAGACATAAAATACCCTTTTTTACAGGTTTAAAATATAGCAGGTTGTTCTTGTGTGTGGAAAGAACAGGCTGTTAATAGTATGGGCATAAATAGTGAATGACATGTGGAAACATGGGAACAAACACACCAGGTGGGTGGCTGAAATGTAGGAAATTTTTGGTGTGAAAACAGCCATGAACAAAGAAAGGAAATAATGCTAGACTACATTATCAATCAATATAAAATTAGTAGCTTTATATCTTGCATCAATACAATTATTGTGATAGACATTGGAATGATGTTGCCTTAATCTTGTTCTTGGTATAGTCCCAGACATTCATTATGAAAGAAGGAAACATACAACTTGCAACTCACTTATATCTTCTTACAACAGAAGAAGAGAAGAGATTGGTTTTATACTCCACCCTTCACTACCCAACGGAGTCTCAGAGTGGCTAACAATTCCTTTTCTCTTCCCCTCTCCAAACCAGACACCCTTTGGAGGTAGGTGGGGCTGAGAGAGCTCTCTTGAGAACTGCCCTTGAGAGTACAGCTCTGAAAGAACTTATGACTGACCCAAGGTCACACCAGCAGCTGCATGTGGAGGAGTGGGGAATCAAACCCGGTTCTCTCATATCAGAGTCTGTGCTCTTAACCACTACACCAAACTGGCTCCCTATTGATCAGGACAAAGTTAACCACATTATACTTCAGAATGTGTCCCAAGGTTAGTATTGAATATGTCAACAGCTAAGGCAACAGCAGTATTACCATACATCTATTCACAATTTCAGCAAACTATGTAAACTTAATATGTGGTGGGCCCTTGGTTCTAGACTTACCTCATTCCTCCCATCACTGGATAATCTTTACCGTTAGAAAAAAACAAACCCTGGGTATAAAGATCTGTGTGTACATTTAGGGAAGTAAATACATTTGCCATATCCAGGTATGATGTCACACAAAAGGAAGTGAAACAGGATTAGTGAAACAAATATGGTCCCTTTCCTGCCCTGTGCTGAAGGTGTACATAGTGTGTTCATAGCTGGAGTACGTCCAAAAACAATTCAGTAAGAGATTTCAAAATCTCTCCTCTCCAGGGCTAATTCAGTGACAAAACCATTTTGTTGACAAAAGTTCTTCATTCCTTAACCAAAGTAGTAAAACATCCACCAGCTTTTAAAAGGATACAGCTATTCTTTGTAAAAAAAAAAAAAAATGAAATAGCAAATGTTTTTACTTTCATCCAAATGATAATGCTGTGCAAACAGGGAACTGATACAGTAGTTTTCAGAAAGAATTATTACGTACCAGTGTTTACAAGATACAATTTCACATAGAGTAGATCCCCACCAAAACTAGAAAACATTGAGGAAACCTGATTATTCAGTGGTGTTTCACACAGCCTTGTTTTGGCTGGAGACGTGGTAAATTCCAAAGCGTCTTTTGACACCCTTCATGGTCATGGCTCACCACATCCCAGGAAGCTTTGGAAATGTGAGTTGGACTATGCTAATCAGCTAAAAATAAAATACAGCCTTACAGCTGTGATAGAATTCTTGCCAATGAAGTCAGGATTTCACCCTCACCTTTATGTTCTCTCATGGAGCTAAAAGGAACATGCTCTCATTTCTTAACCAGTTTACCCACCACAGCACACTTAGACGCTGGACTGTCCTAAAGATTCAGAAGCAAGGTCAACTTGCCCTTTATTTAATTTTTTTTTAAATTATAGCATTGTATTAACCAAATTTCTTCCATGGTCAGAATTACTGGCTATGTCCATCCCACCCCTTTTCTTCCAGGACTAGATCCCAATAACCTCACCCAAGGTCGCTGCCCTGTCATGTTGTAAATGAAGCTTACCTGGCTATTGCTCCACTGCCTGTGAATGAGCTCCTTCGGGATTCAGACAGGCCGCCTGTCTCCATGGAAATGACTCCCTGCAATTCGGAAGACGTGTCCTCACACGGTGAGTGGGTCCTTCGAAAGCAAACAATAAAAAAGAGGAGCGAATTTAGTCCCTTCCAGTGTTCATTTGCTATTCCTTGAGCCCCCTTCCAATTAGGGGACCGTGGAAGAACATGCATTCCTTCCTCAATCACAAATGCTATTACTGTCACAAGTGACGTTATGAAAAACGCAGTACATTAATCATCTTCTGCTTGTGTTCTGCTTCCCTTGAGGTCAATAGGGGTTTTGCTGGACAGAACTTACTAATAGAGGCATTATCTATGTATTTATGTATTAAATTTTCTGCCACGGCCATTCCAGATGGCCAGAGCAGAGGACCATAGTAAAAAAAAAAAAAGTATCATATATCCATTTGCAATCAGAACCAAAGACCTTAGGAACACCACTGTTACTAAAACCTGCTCTGGATGTGGGGGAAAGGATATGTTTTACTTGGCTAAGAGGTACATTAATGGATTGTCTTTACAGATAATCTTTCATCGCTCAGATTGCTTATCTGTATCAAGCATAGGTCATGACAAAAACTCGTAAAAGAAGTTTGGCAGTTGAATAACAATATATAAGAATTTAGAATAATACCAAAGTATCATCAAGTCTCCACTACACCTGAAGGAACAGCCAGGGCTATTTTTGGGCAGGAACGCACAGGAACGGAGTTCCGGCTGGCTCGCGAGTTGTCCACGCCCAGCAGGAACTCATTAGCATAATAGGCCACACCCAACATCAGAAATCCATTAGGATTGGCTTCATTAGGGGTGTGTGGCCTAACATGCAAAGGAGTTCCTGCTACAAAAAAAGCCCTGGGTTTTGACAACAAACAAGGTAAACAGAATAACAAGCAAAAGGTGGGTGTGGCTGGATGAGCACACTTCTGGTAACATGGGGGTGCGTCCTAATGTGCTAATGAGCTGTGCTGGCAGGGGTGTGGCCTAATATGCTAATGAGTTTCTGCTGTTGGGTGTGGCCTATTATGCTAATGGGTTCCTGCTGGGCTTTTTCTACAAAAAAGAGCCCTGGGAACAGCAATGTCTTTCAGCTGCTTATTTCTCAGACACTTTAGCAAATAATGCTTTCATGCAGGCAATGCCCACATCAGCCAGGAGATCAACTTTCTGGGCCTCTGTGAAATCCAGGAACTGACAGTACAATCCTGTGCAGAGTTACACCAGTCTACACCTACTGAAATGAATGCATGTTTTGCAGTGCCATAAATTCTTTCAAGAATCTCTCTGTAAAAATTTTATGTAAAAAAGGTAATGGTTCCCTTTCTCGAAAGCCAGTCAAATCCAACTCTAGGGTTGAGGTGCAGAGTTACACCAGTCTAAACCTACTGAAATGAATGCATGTTTTGCAGTGCCATAAATTCTTTCAAGAATCTCTGTAAAAATTTTATGTAGCAGATAGTAAAAAAGATAAGGCTACCCAATGATCCACCAAAGAGCACTTTTAACACATAAATGCTTTACATTTTCTTTGCATTGTTCTGTTCTCCCAATAAGCTGTTCAGAATGAGATAGACTTGCAAATATTCCCATTTTAATGGAGACTGAAAGGATGAAACCAGTCAGTTTCAAAGAGGAGTCTATGACTGAACATATACCTGACCTCCAAATCACTCAGACTATTCCTTTCTCTAACGATTTATATTTTTAACTTCGCCTGCTGTCCATTCCATGTCCATGTATTATCCATAGTCTGAAAAGCTTCATCAGTTTGATGGCAATTAATCCTATTATTGGATTATTGCACCTCTTGTACCATTCTACTTACACATTTTTATCATGCCACATTTTATTTTCTTACACATTCTCTGCTTGATCAAGTTGCAAGTGGTTATGCTGATCTGGTTGTTTTTTTTAAAAAACCCTAAAAATTCAAGTTGTATAATGTTTTTTATTAGGACCAACATTTAAAAATCGCACATTAGGAAGAAAGCTTTCACATTCCTAGCACTCTCATTCCAGTTATATGTTAGTAAAGGAGGGGGGGCATGTCAACTGGGACCCGACAGGAGACTGGGGGGGGTCGGATATGGAGACTCCCATTATGTTGGTGATGTCATGTAACATCCAGGGTGAACTTGAACTTGGAAGTGATGTCACATTGTCAGCACAGTGTTGTAGGATCCATGTTAGAACATCATACTAACTGGGTGATGTCACTTTTAGGCTTGTCCTAGAAATATTGTCACACCATCAACATGATGGCGATTTTTGTCTCATTGCCCTCCCCCTGAGTGGCAGCAGGGGTCTAAGGCTGTTGCTGGGACACCCCCTTCTATAGAGAAGACTTGGTAGCCCTAGAGCAGGGATATAAAAAATACTTCAGATCATGGTGGAATAGTCCACACTCTGTAGTCGTAATAGTTTTAAGATTGGAGTACAGCTGGAGGTGTTACATTATACGTAGTTAAGTGACAGAGATTTCAGATTATACCAAGGAGTCCTGCAACAGAGAATAGGCAATAACTATTCTCCTTTGGAAATCTGAACTTGGCTGTAGAGTTTGCTTCATCTTACTAATCAATGTACATGTAATCTATAGGGATTTCCCCCCAAAAAAGCAGAAAATGGGAGAAAACAGCTCCAAGAACATACTGGTTCAGAGTATGTCATGGGGGGGGGGGAGTCTACAAACAATGGGCTGGATCCAACCAGCTTTTTCACTCACCGGATTTCTCTCCTTTACACAGTCCATGTGCTATGTGGCTTTTGTCCATGCAGATCCCATGATACCCAGATTAGCCTTTTTTGATGAGCTAAGGGAATCTCTTCTTCCCTTTTCCGGCTATGGAAAAACTGGTTGGATCCAACCCAATCTTGTGAGTGGACAGATCACAGATCATAGTCTCTACAAAATCTTTGTAATATTAGTTGAGCCAGAAGGTGATAAAATGAAATCTATATAAACAATGGACCTTCATCCTTCATTCCTTTTTTATTAGTGTACCCCCCAAAATAGCATCAATATATTTGCACATAAAAATTAACCCTAAACCTCTGAGGAGAATAATCAGAGCTGATTCTAATTTTAAGGCAGGGAGGTCGGGATAAAAATCAAAGGAAATAAATAAATTCCCAGAATTCTGCAAAAGAAGTGTTAACAGTTAAAGTGGCCTGAAACCAATATAAGCTCATCGTGTAGATTAGGTCCTTATTGATCAAGATTGCCTGCAGGGACAAAAAAAGTACTGTGTGGGAAAGTCACAAGTATAGCGTGTGCACAGAAAAGGTAGAAGAAAAGTGAGCAAAGTTTGTTCTCCCAATGAAGTTTTTATTGTTGTTGTTGTTGTTAATTTGATTTGTTAATTGCCATATCCCAGCTCACACCAAGCTCTGGGTGATGTACAAGGGACATAACATCATAAATCAAAGTTACAAATGTTTAAATTTCCATATACAGTTTGATAAGAACTAAAACCAAAGTAAAAAGATCCAAGGTGGCGACTTACAAATTTCTATTCCAATTCTGGACTGCCCAGCTATTTAATGGGAAGGGGCGAGAGGGAACTTAAAATGAAATATAGGGGGGGGGAGGGGAGAAGGGTGCCAGCCAATACAACCAACCATTGCTGCCCTCAACCAAAAGCCTGGCGGAACATCTCTGCCTTACAGCCCCTGAGGAATTGCACTAGGTCCTGCAGAGAGTTTGGCAGAGAGTTCCACCAGATTGGGGCCAGAACCAAAAAGGCCCTGGCCCTGGTTGAGGGCAGCCAGACACTCCTAGGGCCAGGGATCACCAGCAAGTTTGTTATCAGTGGAGCGCAAAGCTCTCCCAAGGTCATAGTGAATCCCGTGTGACCGCTATTCTAATGAGCAGGCTTTCTGATTCAGATCTGAGGTGAGGAAACTCTCCTTCCTCTGCCCAACTTTCTTCCCCAACAAACTCTGGAAGTTTTAATGTTTTGGGGAGATGTTTTGTTTTTGCTGTGCTGAGGAGCAACAAGCATTACTTGATTCTCAGTTAGCTTCATGCTGGAGAAGGGTTGTCAGCCCTGTGCCCATGAACGCTGGCAGTTCTGGAGGGAAAAGCCTAAGAAGGTGGGGGCATTGTGGACACTTTGATATCATTTCCAGGTGATCACCAAAAAAGGGATACTACAGAAATTTCCCCAATCTCGATCATAAAATCCATAGAGATTAGGGTAAATTGTTTGAGGACCACAAACACAGCCATCACTTACCAGGAAGTGAAATCACAGCATCCATACTGTCATTCCCTTCCCCATTTTTCTCCCACTATTCAATTGATCAAATATGAGCAATTGAGGGCTAGGGTGGCAGTTCACCTGCCACAGGTGGGCACATGGTCAGCCTAATCTGTAGTGGTCTAGTGGTTAGAGTGTCAGTCCGGGACTGGGGAGAGGGTTAAAACCCTCTCTCTGCCATGAAGCTCATTGGGTAAATTTGAGCCAATCATGGTCTCTCTCTCTCCAACCTATTTCAGTGGGCTGTCACAAAGCTAAAAGAGAGGAGGGAAAGTATCATCTTGCCATCCTGAGATCGGACACATAGACAAAATAAACAGAAGCACTTACCTGCTGACTCCATTGTCTAATGTATCTGTCTCATCTTCCGCAACCTTCATGGACAGCCTGTGCCGAGCAGAATAGGAGTGATGGGTGTCAACTTTAGCCATTTTACTTTACATCCAAGTGATACCTGCAACAGAGGGGAAATGTACAGTAATCCCTGCATGCTAGAAATGACAATCCAAAAATGAGACTCTCCAGCCTCTTTTGTTGCAGAGATACAGAGATATAGGGGGAAGGTGCAAGCAGTTCCTTGTCCATTGAAAAGGCTGAAGACTTTTTAAACAAAAGGAAGGAATTCAGAGGAACTAGTAGACTGTGGCAAAAGAACACGATAATTTTAGAATTCTATACTTCAATAGCGATTGCCAGTGTTTTTAAACAGTGTACTCAGAAGTCCTCCAGTTGCCCTGCAGGTGAAATGGCAGCTGCAGGAGACGAACAGAAGAAAAATGGAACCAGCACAGGTGGGACCTTTGTTCACTTTCCTGAATCCTAAAAAATACCCAGCTTCACCAGCCTCCATTTATAAATTCTTAAGAAAGAATTGTGAAGGGTCTGCTCTTACCGGCAGTTACGCCTCCCTTTCCCCAAGGTCTTGAGGTTATCAGAGCTATTCTGAAAAAAAATCCAGCTGAGCTCACCTGTCGAAGCCCTTCCTTGGAAGGGGAGGGAGGTCAAAGATGCCTCCCTCCAATGTCTATAGCAAAACATCCTCATTGGGGTAGAGACGAAGCACCACCAAGTGCTTCTAGTGAGCAGCCATGTTCACCAGGAAGTCTCCATTTATAAGTTCTTAAAAGACAATAATGCTAGGAAAAGTTGAGGGCAGCAGGAAAAGAAGACGACCCAGCATGAGATGGATGGACTCACTCAATCAAGGAAGCCACGAGGGCCCGCAGTTCGCAAGACCTGAACAAGGCTGTTAACAACAGGAGGCTTTAGGGGATGTTAACCGTAGGGTCTCCATCAGTGTTCCCTCTAAGCTGAGTTAGTGTGAGCTAGCTCACAGTTTTTTAGCCTCTGGCTCACACATTTTTGTCTTCGCTCAGGAAGGATGGCTCTAGAGCAAACTAATTCATGCAGTAGCCAAATTGCTTGCTCACAACTTTAATGCCAGTAGCTCACAAAGAAGAATTTTTGCTCACAGGACTCCCCAGCTTAGAGGGAACATTGGTCTCCATAAGCTGAAAGTGCCTTGAGAGCACTGAATACACACACAGTTTTCAAGTTACTTCACTAAGTATGCCTGTAAAACATGTATATTATGCTGTTTTTCATTTTATGCCCATTTCAGGTACTAATCTGCAGTGAACGCCAGGCCTTAAGCTTGAGAAGGCCACAGGTTATTAAGAATTATGAGTAGGAAAGGTTTCCTTAATGCTCATTTGTCTGTTTAGAGAATTTTCATGCCACCTCTAGAGAGCTGTTCAAGGTAGCCCATAAAGAAAAAAAACCCAATAAAATAAAATCATAAAAACAACAATATAAGAAACCAATATTAAAACAAACCTTTCCAAACAAGCCAGGGACATAATGATATCTGTAAAACATTCCTCAGGCTAGAACCAGTCCATAGGGTCTGCAAGACCAGGCCTGTCTAAGAGTCCTAGAAATAGACCTTTCTCAACACCTCTGCCATAGGTATCGGGCTAAATGTGAGACTGTATGCATAATAAATGTATACTCTTCCACTAGTTTCATGTAGTGGTTAATCTGGAAGAACCGGGTTTGATTCCCCACTCCTCCACTTGCAGCTGCTGGAAGGCCTTGGGCAAGCCATAGTTCTGACAAGAGCTGTCCTTGAAAGGACAGTTCTGGAAAGAGCTCTCCCATAATACTGTGGGATTTTATAGAATTTATGGAAGTTTATAAAATGTTGTCTATTAATATTGTTTATGAGTATCCTTATTAGTTTTTATTGTAAAAATGTTTGGTCTAAATTATCCTGTAATGATATGTAATGTGTTTCATAGTAGCTGTTTGTACGCTTGGCTTAAGACCTCTGGTCAATGAAGTTAATAAATGAAAGGAAAGGAAAGAGCTCTCTCAGCCCCACCTACCTCACAGGGTATCTGTTGCTGGAAGGGGAAGGGGAAGGAGTTTGTAAGCTGCTCTGAGACTCCGAGTGAAGGGCGGGGTATAAATCCAATCTCCTCCTCCTCCTCCTCCTCCTAAGTAATTCACATACAAGTGCTCTCGGGGTTCTCCTATGATGACGTTCAAGCCCCTTTCCCCATTATCCCCTTTCTGTCCCATGTATAGACTGTTCCCCAGGTATGTAGTTCTGAAAGAAGATCTGGAAACTTTACTTTCTCACAGCATTCCACATCTGTCACATGAAACATGCCACCGTGAAGATGGTAGCCTCCTGACTCTGTGTTAAGCATAATTCTAAAACATGGAACAAATTGCCCAGGAATGTTGTGGAAGTGTCTTCCTTCAAAGGCTATAAAACTGCTGATAAACAGGGTAGGGAGATGCTTTACATCAGGAACAGGCCCTGTAAAACTTTCAGGCCTCCTCCAACCTCAAGCAGGGACAAAAAAAGGGAAAGAAAACTAAACCTAACAAAGAAATCCAAAACCAAACAAAAGTTTAGTGGAAAAGAGGGCCAATATTAAAACCCATTGATAAAAAGAAGTACATGTATTTATTAATAATATCAAGTTAAAACATATATAGGGGCCTAATTACAGACAATATACATAAACCATAATCATAACCAGGGCTAAAAAAATGACCTGACGCGTTTCGGCCGGATCGGCCTTCCTCAGAGGTCATACAAGTGTGGCTAGATGGTAAATAGTTACACTCATAAAACACAATCAAAAATGTATACAAAATATAATTTCAATTAGGACCATAAAGGAAATTGTTCAGTAAAAACATACCCAGGCACAAAGTGAATATGCGCATACAATCTTTTTAGTGCAATCACTAGCCCAGTAGATATAAAATCAACCTATGGTCCACAAATAACCTTCTTAGATTGTGTTGCCACAATAATTACAAGTAAACAGCAGATAAACAGGGTAGGGAGATGCTTTACATCAGGAACAGGCCCTGTAACACTTTCAGGCCTCCTCCAACCTCAAGCCAGTTTCATTCACTCCCCACCACCAAACAGCCAGCCTGCGAGTTGGCTGCCCAGATGTGTCAAATAGATCTGGACAAGGGCCATACCTTACATTACAGAACTAAAATTTTTGAAAGGAGGCCAAAGAAGACTATTCCAGAGGAGAAGAGCAGCCACTGACAAGGACAAGCATCAGAATCGATTTGGACAAGGCTGTTCCATACATCTGCCCTCCCTGTGAATTTTCACAGTTGTGAAGTCAATTTATTTTCTTCCACACGTGCCTTAAATTATGAGGATTTTCAAGGCAGGGTGCTGTCATTATTGGTATTGTCATTGGTGCCAGCGCAGCACATACACCTCTTATTTTTTTAAAAAGGCCCTAAAAGTCGATCTATTGATGTAGTGTTGCAATGATAGTTTAAGCAGGTTGTCTGAATTCCCAGCTTTCATTTCTTTAAAAAAAATGGTCTTTTCCTTTGTATCCTGGTGAGGGTGGGGGATAGAGACTTATTTTTTATAAAAATGAAAGTTGGGAGTTCATAGAACCTGTTAAAATTATAAGAAGAAGAAGAAGAGGAGATTGGATTTATACCCCGCCCTTCACTACCCAAAGGTGTCTCAGAGCGGCTTACAAACTCCTTTCCCTTCCCCTCCCCACAACAGGCACCTGTGAGGTAGGTGGGGCTGAGAGAGCTCTTGACAGAAACTGCTCTTTTTCAAGAACAGCTCTTATCAGAACTACGGCTTGCCCAAGGTCATCCAGCCAGGTGCAAGTGGAGGAGTGGGGAATCAAACCCGGTTCTCCCAGACTGGAGTCCGTGCACTTAACCACTACACCAAACTGGCTCTCAGGATTATAGCACTACAGCAATATGTCAATATTTTAGGACCTTTTTTAAAAAACAAAAACTGAAACCACTCATTGTCAGGGTGGGCGGTGGTTTGAGAATGATGGCAGCGCAATAGTTGAAAAGTGGGGTAGACATGAGTGGGACAAGGAAAACCAAAATAAACATTATACACAAGGAAAAAGATTACTCAAAATTGGCTTCCAGAAAAAGAACAGGGTAAACATGGTTTCAAAAGAACCAGAAAAAATCTGGGGAATAACCAATTTTTTTTAAAAAAGTGAAAACTAAAGGCACAAAAATGTGTGTGGAAATTGGGAAATAAGTTGAAGCAGTATGGGGCCAGAACTGATGGGGTGGGGACCAGTGTTCCCTCTAAGCTGAGTTAGTGTGAGCTAGCTCAAAGTTTTTTAGCCTCCGGCTCACATATTTTTGTCTTCGCTCAGGAAGGAGGGCTCCAGAGCAAACTAATTTATGCAGGAGCCAAATTGCTCTCTCACAACTTTAATGCCAGAAGCTCACAAAGTAGAATTTTTGCTCATAAGACCCCACAGCTTAGAGAGAACATTGGTGGGGACTCATGCAGAAAAGCCCGTGGCCCAAAAACCTGTCTGGAAGCAGACAGAATGAGTGAACTCTGCTAGTTCAACCTAATGGGTTATCATATTGTTAAATTATACAGCAGCAGGATGGTCAAGGGTTAGATTCCAGTAGATGAAACAGTCAAAAATATCTAACCAGAACAACTGATAATCTAAATCCTGAATAAGAACGAAATCAAATGCAGGAAAACAATTAGGGATGTGCAGCTCAAAAAAAAAATCTGTATTTTTCTAGATTTAGATATCAGGAAGCAAAAAGATATCAGCATTCCCAGTTTTCCAGGCTCCAAATACTAGTTTGGTATTAGAATCTGGGATTGGGGTGGGGGGGTCCTGATATTTTTTGGCTCCGTTGTTTCCTATTGGGAAAATTTCCAGGAGGGCCTGTTTTTAAAGGAATCAGCCATTCCAAACCAACTAGGAACACCGTTACAGACCTAGCAAATGTAAAATTGGAGAATCAAGCTGATGTAGAACCAAGAATTTAAAACAATGTCAAACTCCAGAATCCACCATAAAATGCAAATCTGACATGAAGCAACTCAAGCAAAAAAACACAACTCTGCAGAGTCAAC